ACCTGATGCCAAGACCAAGCGGAGGGGTGATGCACCCCTCACCCTCATTCCCCCAATGTACGTCTTGTCACGTACAACATCAACACGTATGTAGGACCACATAAAGACAGACGTACATATGTCCGCACTCCTGTCCTGGTCCCCCGGGGCCCCCCGCCCCATCCTCCCCCCCCCCCGGGTCCTTAGGAGGTGGACTTTGCCGGTGAGCCGGACAAGATGTCCCCCATGGACCTGGACTCGGGGTTCTGGGTGAAGCAGGGGCCCAAGCGGGTGCACAGCCCGGATGCCCTGCGCGCGGCTCTGAAGCTGGCCGAGGAGAGGACCCTGCACTCCACATTTGCAGGTGGGCGGGTAGAGGAGGTTCAAGAGGAGAGGGAGGGGGGGGGAGGATTTGACGGAGGCGGCGATGGGGATACCCTACTCAGGTGGGGGGCCGGGAGGGGGGGAATCATTTGATCTTATTTAAATGTCGCGGTAATAGGATTGAGCGGTTGAAAATGGTATAGATCAAATTAGTAGCTTTATTTTATTATTAATAGGCTGGGTTGGGCCAATCATTCTGCCACTCATATTTTACACTTGAATCAAGTTCGATACAGCATACTTTTTATAAATTAAGAGCATGCGGGTAACTGGATGTGTCGTACCGCCAACTACTACATCCCCACACACATCATTCCAACCACTCCCCACACCAGGAGGTGTCCTCGGCCCCCTACTGCACTCCTCTGCTGTACTGCTTTACTGTACTAAAAATCCCACGTCCCCCCCCGGCCCTCTCTCTCTTCCCCCCCCCACACACACATACATACATACATGTAACCCCCTTAGGAGCTCGCCTGATGTCCAACGCACGTCGTTGCGCCGCCCGTCTGGCTTCCGTACACGCGGGAGGGGCCAGCGGCAAGGGGGGTGCCAAATCAGGCAAGGGGGGGAAGGGCGGCGGCCGTAAGGACGGCGGTAAGGCCCACAGCGGTGGCGGCGGCAGCGGCTACTACTCGGACGACAGCGAGGATACGGAGCGGGTGTTGGACGCCCTGTCGGCGCCGGCGAAGGGGAAGCAGCAGCAGCCGCAGCCGCCGTCACAAGCCTCGAAGAAGAAGAAGAAGACGGCGGTGAAGGATGGAGCGGCTGGCGGTGGCGGGGTGACGGCGGCGGTGCAGCTGGTGAAGCTGCTGGGGGCCAGCAAGCGGAGTGAGGAGGCTGGGAATGGTAATGGTGGTGGAAATGGCGAGCGTAAGTCCGCCTGGGGTGGGGTGTTCGGCGGTGGCGGCATGGCGGCTGCTGTGGGTGTTGCTCAGCGTGTGAAGCAGTTCGGCGGGGCTCTGCGGCGGGCGGTGAAGAGGCGGGAACACGCGCGGCGCCGGTGGGATAAGACGTTGTTTCTGGTCATGCAGGTGGGTGGTTGGGTGGTTGGGTGGGTGGTTGGGTGGTTGGGTGGGTGGGTGGGTGGTTACAGCAGGTGCCTGAAAAGAGGTGGGGGAAAGGCGAATAGAGCCGGATGCTGGGGTTGATATGTGGTCTCGGAGCTGAACAGGTTATGATGAGCGCTGGTGGCTGCTCCCCTCTCTCCCCGTTTGTTCCAGCTTAGGAATGTTCGGACCATTCTTCATTTCTGACTGTCCACCCTCATCACTTACACTATCCCACCATCCCACCATCCCACCATCCCACCATCCCACACACTCTCCCCCTAGCCCCGCTCTCCCTTGGCTTGGTGGCTTTCCATCTGCCCCTCTCCCTCATCCTCCGTCCCCTCCTCCTTCCCTAACCCCCCTGTCACCAGTCGGGCGCTTTTGACGAGAAGAACCTGGCTCGGGATCACGCCAGGGAGGTGACTCGTCTCCGCCGTACAGCCGCCCTGATGGCTTGGAAGCAGCTGCGGGGTGCCGCTGATGACATGTTGATGGTGTTCGGGGAGGTGGTGTTCAGAGATGTGGGGGTGGTGTTCGCACTGGCCATGGCGGGCTTCCTGATGGCCTTCCCCTTCGTGATGCTCGGGGTGGCGGTACAGGTACGGAGGGGGGAGGGGGGTGTACGGAGGAGGAGAGGGGGGGTTCTCTGGCAGGTGGCCTGGAAGGCTGGGAGGATGCGGCGATGGTGGTGGTGGTGGTGGTGGTGTCTGCTGGCCTTTCTCCCCGCTGTCCAGTACAGCGGTCTGTTGTCACATATTAGTCGTTGCGGCTCCAAACAGCATTTCCCCACCTCCCTCCCCCCATCTCAACACCCGGGGGCCCCTCCGTTCTGTCCACAGATATCCCCGGGTGACCGACACGACCGGCTGCTGATGGGCAGTCTGGTCGGGTGCTACGTGTTGGTGGGGTTCACGGGTATGGCCGCTGCGGTGGCCCAGCTGCGGCGGGACCCCAGCCAGCTCAAGGTGTACCGCCCCTCGGATGTCATCAGGTTCCCCAACTTCAGGAGGGGGACTGCGCTGTCCAGCTGGAAGGTAGTAGGGCCATGTGTGCGTCCGTGTATCTGTCTGTGTGTCTGTCTGTGTGTCTGTGTGTCTGTCTGCCTTCCTTCCTGCCTGTCTGCCTGTCGGTCGGTCGGTCTGTGTGGGCATGGGGGGTTGTTGGGGGTTGAGACGCCACGAAACGAAACGGCGGGTGGACCCCACCCGGCCACCCCCCCGGGTGAAGGGAGGGCTGCGGAGGAGGGAGGGAGCTGCAGCACCTCTGCCACCAGGGTACCGGGAACTACATCCCCCCCCCCAACCACGTCCCTTCCCCCCGCCACACTTCCCCGCCCCCACATAGGCCCATTGGGTGAATGTGTTCGCGCTGTTCACTCTGGTACTGGAGTTCTGGCAGCTGTGCGCCTTCAGCTACCAGCGCAGTATCCCCTACCCCAAGAAGTCCCTCCTGAAGGCGATATTCCCCTGGGCGCTACTGGACCTGGGGCCCGCAGCGTACTTCCTGCAGGTGGGGGGAGGGGGGAAAGCAGGGGGGGGTGCATGTGTGTGTATTTGTTTTTGTTTGTTTACTTGAGAGTTGATGAAAGGGGTCGAGAGGGGGGATGGAGGTGATGGGCAGGTTGGTGAATGGTTGGGGTACTGGAACGTGCTTTTTGTGTCGTACTTGTACGGTGCTACGTCATGTCAGTGTATCACACGTTGTTAGTGGTGAGAGCTCTTCAAGTAAAAATGTGGCCCGGGACTGAGCCCTGCGGGTATGCAGGGGCCTTACGACTGGGGGTCCACAGACCTTTGCTCGGCAAATGAAAAAAGGAGGAAGGATGGGAAAGGAACGCAATGACGGGCTGAAAAGACAGACCTATCACGGCCCAGTGTGACGTATCCTTTACATATCCGTACAATCACTACAAAATCGGCCACTCAAACCCGGAATCCCGTACACCTTGTCCCTTACAAGTTTCCCTCCTCACCTTACCCTCGCTTGTACGACCTCTCCTTTGTTCCCCCTTCCCCTCCTACCGCCCTGACCCCTGATCATTCCTCCTCCAACCCTTATTGCGGTAAAACACATATCCGCCTCCCCCCCCCCCACTCCCCCCCTCCTCTTTCCCCCCCTTCAGGTGTTTGCGCTGTTGGCCTTCATGGTGGTTTGGATAGCTGTGTTTTTCCCCCAGACCCCCGCGGGGCTAAAGCGGGTGATTATGCCCTTCCTGGGGCAGGCGGCGTACCTGACCATCACCTCGGGGCTGCTCAGGTGCGTCTAGAGGGGGGGGCGGGGGGGGGAGGGGGTTATGCTAGCTACACAAGGCCCGAGCTGCGGGCAGGAACTGGCGGAGATCGCCGATGTGTGCACAAGTACGGTGTACGGACGAAGGAGGATTGCTGGAGGTGTAATACGTGGGGGAGAGATAGATGGCACTTCCTGACCCTGCTAGCGGTGTATTAGGACTATGGCGGACATTAAGGCCATAGACGTTGTACATATGTACATATATGTATGTATGTATGTATGTACCCCCAGAGGCCTGTATCCACATCCCGTCTCACCCGTCAACGGTCTTCCCTCCGCCCCCCTTTCCCCCAAAACACACACACCACACACACATACACCTCCTTTCCGCGCCCTGATGGGGGCCCCTGCAGCCAAGTGAACTGCCGGCTGTCGGACGGAGCTCTGATTCGTAACCCCGACATCACCTGCTGGACAGATCCACGACATGTGTACGGCGCAGTGGCAGCGATGTTGGCCCTGGGGCTCTACGTGCCCCGAGCAACACTCACACCCTTCGAGGTTGGGCAGTGGGGGGGGGAAATGGTTGGGGAGGAGGAGAGTGGAGAGGTGCTCACAGTCGGTTAGTTAGTTAGTTAGCTGGTCAACAGGTCGACCAAGGTGGGAGGTAATGAGCAATTCAGCACATGCTGGCCTGCATTGCATTGCCGGCGGCCACACGGCACTGCACAATTTGATTACTGTCTATTGCTGGCAAGGGCACCAGCACAGCCATCACCATCACCACCAACTACACAAGTGGTTGGTAGATTGCATGTAGTTAGTTATTTCCGTTACCGTCAACCCGGTGGATCCACCCCAGGTGTTCTTCCCCAGCGAGAATCTGGACATCAAGTACCGGGGGTTGTACGTCCGTGTCGTACAGCTGCTGCGGCTGGCAATGGCCGGCTACAACCTGTTCTTTGCGGACACGTACCCGCTGTCGGTGAGAACATCCCGAGCTGTGGGGGGGGGGTTGGAGGAAATGAAGGCCATGCTGGGCTCTCCTGTTGCTTTCCCTGGCATCATGTGTGTGTATGTGTATTTTGCACATATACGTATATACCATAAGCATACTATAACCATACCATAACCATATACGTGTGTATGGTTCCAAATATCCGAACACGCTGTTCCCCTCCTTCCCCTCTCTGCCCCCGTCCCCCCCCGCCCAGGTCATGGTGGCCAACGCGGGAGTGTGCGCTCTCCTTGCCGTACTGACGATCATCATGCGGCCCTGCTGCATCGGGGCGGTCAACATAGGGCGGGGAACGGGGTTCGTACTGGCGACCTGGTCGCAGGTGCGTGAGGATAACTGGGGCCATCATGTTTGGGGGCAATGGTGTGTGGGTGTGTTAGTTGCGGCCTGTGAAGAGACGGGTGGCAGTGGAGTGGTGTGGGAGGGTGGGGGTTGGAGGTGGGGGGAGGAGGGGGTAATGAAAGCGGGTAGGAGGTGCAGGGGGAGAAGTAGCCCCAAGTGGTGAAACACAAACCCGGGACCAGAACCCGCTTGGGGGGTCCCCCGCTCCTCCGTGGAGAGGTACAGACTACTCCAACAGGGGATTCTCCGCTGGCTGCTGCCTTGCCGTACAGCCATACAGTCAACGATCTTCCTCCTCCCGTGTGTGTGTGGGGGGGGGGAAGGGTAATTCCTTCCAGGTTTCTCCCGGGGCCCACGTGGCTGCACCATTGGTGCACTTGCCGTGCAGTTGAGGTCCGCCTGTATAGAAAAATCGTACATAGTCCCCGTACCCGCTTCCCCCCTTATTTTACCGCTCCGGTCCCCAACCTCCCGGCCCCCCTCTTCCCCCCCTGTAGCTGGTATCCGTGACCACCCTCCGTCTAACCCCGGAGCGGGACAGGCACATGGACTACAAAACCGGGCAGTTGTACACCCGGGACTGGAGATATGTGTACGTGCTGGTAGCGGGATGGGCTGTCATTGCGGCAGGTAGGAGCGAGGGAGGGAGGGAGGAGGAGGGGGAGGGGGAGGGGAGGGGAGGAGAGGAGTGGGGAAGGATGAAGAGGCTGGGAAGGAAGGGGAGAAGGGGAAGGAAGAGGAAAGGGAGAAGGGGCGGGAGTGTGGGGGGGAGAGAATAGAAGGGGAGGGAGGAAAGAAGAGGAGAGGGGAAGGAGAGCGAACAGGTACATCGCCGTGTTCATCAGCCCGTTTGTAACGGTGTATGTATGTACACTTACACAGCACCACCAGTCAACCTGCAGTACAGTTCACCCCTCCAGCCCCGTACATACAACCCCCCCCTGCGCCCCATACCATGTCCACCACACTACA